AGCCCGACCCTTGTGTGGCCAAGTCTCAAACTTGGCTCCCAGCCGCCGGCTGCTGTCCCGGTATGCCGGACCCCGATGTCCCGTCGGGGCTCGCCCGGCCCGGTTGCATCCCGATCACCAGCTGCCGCCCCAACCGATTGGTGCCGTTCGTCCCCCCCCCCCCACCCCCACCCCTCCCTGTGGTTCGACACTGCCAGGACCTAGTCTCTGGAGCCAAAGGGTCAAGGAAAGAACAACAACAATAAAACAACAACAAAGCAGAAGCAACAGCTGTTCTTGCTGCATCTGCTGCTGCTGCTGCTGCTGCTGCTGCTGCTGCTGCTGCTGCTGCTGCATCAACAGTGCTGGTGAAGTGATAACTATGCCAGGGTAACAGCCACGGGAAACTGCAACAACAGAGAAGCTGGTTATGGTTCCTGTCCAGGTACGAGCCGTAGCCGCAGCACGCCACCAGCAACAACAACGACAATAGCGGCGGCAGCGGCGGCGGCGGCGGCGGCAGCGGCGGCGGCATCAGCACCAGCACCAGCCCCAGCGGCGGCAACGGCAGCGGCATCAGCGGCGGCAACGGCAGCGGCATCAGCGTCAACACCATCAACAGCAGCGGCAACAGCATCAACACCATCAACAGCAGCGGCAACAGCATCAACACCAGCACCAACGCCAGCAACAGCAGCATCAACGCCAGCAACAGCAGCGGCAACAGCAGCGGCAACAGCAGCGGCAACAGCAGCGACAACAGCAGCGGCAACAGCAGCGACAACAGTTTCAGCGGCAGACCGGAGAACAATATGGGAGGCAACGCCAGCAACGGCACAGCCGCGCAGGTCTCTCGGTCACAGGGCGGACAGCTTTTTCACCGGCCAGCCCTCTGTGCTAGATTGTCCACCGGACGAAGTAGACAGCCTTTCACCCTCTCCTTCCCTTTCCCCCCCCCCCCCCCCTCCCGATCCATTTGCCTGTCTTCCGCGATCGCTCCTTTGACCTTCCTTGGCTTGGATACCGAGAAGCAAACATGCGCAGCCCGCTTGCGGCCGTGTGCCTCCACGCGAGCCTCGTCCTGGTGGCCGCCCTCTGCCTGACCCAAGGCCTGACTCGGGCCATGATGCCGGCCTCGACTCCCGCCTTCAAGCATGCCTACGGTGTGGGCTTCGCCAGCCCCCGTGCCGAGGCCAATGCCCTCATCCTGCAGGAGGGCGGCGTCCATGCCCCACGGAACTCCCTCTTCCGGCGGTACTTCCGCCGCGGCCTGGACACCGACGGTGATGGCTACTTCACGCCGGCCGACCTGCGGGCCTTCATCGTGGACAACCTCCACATGGAGGACACCGATGAGGAGATCGAGCCGGCCCTGCTGCTGGAGGCCTTCGCCGAGCTGGACACCGATGGCGATGGTCGGGTCAGCTTCGCCGAGTTCCGCGACCGGTTCCTCTGGCTGGCCGACGCCCAGGACATCCCGGGTGGCCTGCTCGAAGTGCCGTATGGCTCTCCCGAGGAGATGCTTGCCCGGCCCAATGGCGGCCACCTGCTGGATGACGGGGACCTCTCGGGCGGCCGTCTGCCGAGCTCCTTTGCCAGCGCCTTCGACGGCCTGGCCCCGGAGGGCGTGCACCTGGCTTTCGGCGCCACTCCCGGAGATATGACCGTCATCTGGACGACTTTCGGTGCGCCAGCACGCACGTCCATGGATGGCACCCATCCACACGCACACGCGCAGGCGTGTCCCATTTCCTGCTCCGCCTTTTTCCCCCTGCTTTCCCCCACTCACCCTCGTCATGACCAGCCTCCACCAATGACACGATCGTGCAGATCGGCCAAACTCCCGGCCAGTACGGCCTCGAGTACACCGGCGAGGAGTACACCTACAACTCTGGTGTCACGGGTACGCGCTGGACCTGCTTGCCAAAGAAGCCGCCTTGCCCCCTCATGGGAAGCCCCTCGACATGGCCACGCGCACGCCGCCCCACCTAACAATGTCCTTTCGCGGCAGGCTGGGACGGCTTCCTGCACAAGGTTCGCGTCCAGGGCCTCCTCCCTGGGTCTCGCTACTACTACCGCGTGGGCTCCGGCGATGTGAGCGATCCGTCCTCCTGGAGCCAGGAGTTCACCTTCGAGACGATGCCTCTGCCAGGGTACGTTCCCCGAGTGGGGCTGCTTTTTCTCCCCCTCCCCAGCCCAACAACGAGGTCCTTTTTCCGCCATCTCCCTGCCCCCCCCCCCCCCGCCCCCTATTGGCCGGCGTCAGGGAGGCCCTCCTTCCGGGATGTCCTCTGACCCCTTCTCTCCTCCAACAGCTCCACCGACCGCCCGATGAAGTATGCCCTCTACGGCGATATGGGCACGTTCATGCCCTTCGGTGGCCATGTCACCGAGGCTCTGGTCAAGTGGCATGCCCGCGACCCCTTTGACATGATCCTCCATGTGGGCGACATCTCCTGTACGTGAGCTGACCACACAACCCCTGGCATGGGCAGAGGTGACATGGCCCCCGGCCACCGTCTCCCCGCCGCGTCCGCCCTCGCGCTCACCATCTCACGCCCCCCCCCCCTCCTTGTGCCCACGTCAAGATGCCGGAACCGGGTCCGACCGCGAATGGCAGGGCATTTGGGACATCTTCGCTCGGCAGACCGAGCCCCTGGCCGCCAACATTCCCTACATGACCACCATTGGCAATCATGAGAAGGTGCGTCTTTTCCCGACGGCCCCCCGGCCTGGGCCTGGTCGTGGCTTTGTCTCTCCTTCCACCTACTAACACGGTCGCCCACCTCCCCCTCTCCCCGCACATACACACACACACACACACACACACACACACACACACACCACCTGCCGTCGTTTCCCCCGTTTGACGCAGTATGACAACTTCACCGCGTTCCGGGCTCGTTTCGAAATGCCGGAGGGCAGCGACAACAGCGCGGCCGCGGCTGTTCCCGGCTTTTTCAACAGCTTTGACCATGGCCTGGTGCACTTTGTGTCGGTCTGCTCGGAGCCCTACGCCTACGAGTATGTTCCCGGCAGCCAGCAATACCGCTGGCTCGAGGCGGATCTGGCTCGGGCCAACACCCGCCGCCATCTGGTCCCGTGGGTGGTGGTGTCGGTGCATCGTCCCATGTATGGCACCGCCGATGGGGGCCGCTGGACCGAGCTCCAGGCTGCCCTGGAGCCACTCCTGCGCAAGTACAAGGTCGACCTGCTGATTGCCGGGCACATGCATTTGTATGAGCGCACCCTGCCCGTGTACCAGGACACCCCGGTCAACCAGTACCCCGACCTGTCGGTCTACACCGACCCCCAGGCTCCGGTGCACCTGACCATCGGTACCGCCGGTGCCATGGTCCACGATCGGTGCGTCCCGATGCCCCGAATGCTGCCGCCCGCAGGCCCTCGCGCGTGTCCACACGAATGCCGAGAAAAGGGGACCGCGAGCGGGAGAAAAGGGAGGGGGAGGGGAGAGAGAGAGAGAGAGAGAGAGAGACCGACTGTATCGCTTTGCCCACAATTGCTCGCCCACTGACCGGCCCTCTTGTTTGTTGCCTGCTCGCCTCCTTGCTTGCGCGGCTGCCCTCTGGGGCGGGGGGCTCTCGGCCCACAACAGCTGGGAGACCAACCCCGATTGGCTGGCCTTCCGCCAGCGGAGCTACGGCTTCGCCCAGATGACCGTACACAGCGCCCACGAGTTGGAGGTGGTTTTCGTGTCGAACCAGGCCGAGGGCGAGGCCGATCGCTTCTCCATCGTCCGGACCGCCGGTGCCAACTGAAAGCCGGTGGCGCCCTTTGTCAACCTGAACATTGGCACCTGGCCACTGTCCACACCTACCCCAGTCCCGTGGACGTGTGGCGCGCCCCGCCGCTGGCGGCCGCCGTGCTGTCCCAGCGCGCACACCCGCCCCCTTTTGTCTGCCCTTGGCGTGTCCCCCCCC